GAAATTGCACGATCGAGTAAGAAATGGTTTCCTAATTTGTAAAAAAATTATTCACGTTCTTTAACGGAACCTCAAAATTTATTTTGAAAGGGAAATTCGTGATGCGTACAAAAAGAAAGCCCTAGAAACAGATTCCTACTAATTCAGCAATAAGCCCTGCATTATCACAAGAGAAGGCAAAGGTTCTCTTTCAGTACATTGCCGATGCTTACTATGTTCTTAGTGATGAAACACGAAAGGCACAATATGGTGCTTGTTTAATAAATGTGGCTTCTTTTGAATTCATTGGTAATTGATAGCTTTGTAGGTCGAGTAAGGGCTTCCAGAAAAATCCTACATCGACTTGGCAGGTCAATCGAACTGACGCAAACCATATCTTTGGTGACGTATTCTAAGAATTATTGAGGATAACCCGCATTGGTTTTATGCTCCAATTGGTACGGTTACTGATGGAATGGGTTTTATTTGTGTTAATGTTCCCGGATTGGTGTTGGGTGCCTATGCAGGAAATAAACTGGGGACGATTAGAGATGCCAAAGATATATTAATTTTTTTTATTAGTTTATAAGTTGGACCTAATTTTTAAACTTTGAATTCTTATTGAGAACATGTATGGGTTTATTCTACAGGTGTATCAGTATATAATGCTTATTCAAAATTATCTAGTAATACAATGCCACCATATTAGCCGCACTTGCAGCAAAATTAGTTACAAACGGCAGAATTTAATTATTAAGTTGGCCTCATATTGATATATATGAAGTTATTTATACATACACATATATGATAATGCCATCTCCTTTATTCATTATTTTACATATAATATATTGATCAATTGAAAAGTTTTGTTCATATATTTGATTAAATGTTCTATTCTTTATAAATGAGTCCATTTATTGTCATAGATGTTTTGATTCGAAAACATAAGACTTGCTAAAATCAAACTCTGATTCTAAGTCATGACCTAACCCTAAAAAAATATACCTCAAAATTTTTTCAAGTTGTATATTAAATAGGTCCAAAGTTCAACATCATTCGTAGATATAGATAGATATAGATGGATATTCTAGTTATTTGCGTATACATGAAATCTCTTCGATACAATTATTTATCAATCAAGACTAGTTTAATTAAATTAATCGCGCCAACTACAAAATAATAAATTCACATTATTTAATAGCTCAAATATCCTAAAGCCACTCGATAAACAATGGTTTGCCAATCTTTAATGACAAGGAGTTAAAAACATTAAACTAAAAAGTATATACAGTCAGATTCCCTAAATACACTCCAGAAATGCACGCACTGTGTAAATTCTCTCTAAATGCACAGTATAGATTGGATTCATTTCCCAAGAGCTTTATATATTTTGTTCTTTATAAATGCCGAACTCAATCTACCTTTTGACATTTGTTCTGTTCGAAATTCGAATAGAACCCGAACTTAGACAAAGCTTGGATTCGGGGTTCGTAGAAGTACTAATATTAACTGAATTAAACGATTAATATAATTAAATTATAGGAATTTTAGACGGTTCCAATTAATTATGACTTCACAATATCGTAATAGACTATTAGGTCATTGTACAATACAACATAATAGACCCGACCATCGATTACTATCGCAAAGTCATAAAGACGTAACCTAATAGACCTATTATATAAAAAATGGTAGCAAAGAGAATGATTAGTAGACCAGACAAATTCCTTTTTTACATTCCAATTTCCGGTTTCGAACCAGTGAAGAGAAGCTAAAAAAGAGAATGTTTGATTTCGGTGCATTAGAAAGAAGAACAAGAAAAAGGTAGTTACTTATTTCAAAAGTCCAGTTTCCAACTCCAATTCATGTTCCAAGA